TAAAGTTTCCTGGAGAAATATTTTCATAACGTTTTTTATTCACTAATGCATCTGCAGCAGCAGCACAAGTTAAATGACTCAGAGAGGAAAACCCCATGTGAGAATAAACCTGTTACCAGGAATACCAGAAACAGGATGGAACCTGTTGCAAAAGCACCACAGAGTGAAAACTGACCATCTGGCACATTTATATTCCAAACACTAGGAAGACTGTAATCCAACCAGGCATGTCTAGTGACCTCTCAGCACTCCAGGACATTGACTTTTTACACAGGCAGACAGTGACAGGACAAGGAGAGATGGTTTTAAACTAAAGGAGGAGAGATTTAGATTAGAGGTTAGAAAGAAATTCCTTCCTGTGATGGTGCTGAGACACTGGCAGAGGTTGCCCAGAGCAGCTGTGGCTGCTCCATCCCTGGGAGTGTTCCAGGCCAGGTTGGACAGGGCTTGGAGCAATCTGGGCTAGTGGAAGGGGTCCCTGCCCATGGTGGGGGGTAGAAGGAGATGAGCTTTAAGGTCCTTCCAACCCAAACCATTCTGGATTCTCTAATTCTCTGATCACTTGTGCATGAACACCCAGCCCAGCTGGAGTGATTTACATGCTGAGCACCTGCAGCTCAGCCACTCACAGTTTTGTGTATTAGCTTTTCTTTTTCCTGGAAGATTTGCTTTGCATTCCAGACGTACATGTCCACACCACCGTGCCCTGCCTCCTGCATTTGCTGCCATGGCAATCTCTGCTCCCAGCACTGCTGTGGAGCTCGTTAACACAGGCAGTGATTGGGGAACTGTTGGTTTTACACTCAAGTATTACTGTCAAGTGACTCGGTGGAAACATATGGCCCATAAAAGGTGCTGCTCCTGCATCCCAAACTGCACCCAGTGCGGCTCCTCCAGACACTCCAGTCAAAGTCAGAACAAGATCAATCAGTGCAGAACACTGAGCACACTTCGGGCTTTGCTGCTGAGCTCTCCTGACAAAACCTCAGCTGCAAAGCACAGGTTGTCAGCGCTGAAGGAGCTTAACGAGGGAGAGATCCAGCCCCAGAGGGCAACCATGGACATGACCAGAACAAGAATCATGTAGAGTCTCTTGAGGAGCAAGTAACAACCATCAAGTGGCTACCTGACACCCAGGCCAGGCAGAGAATGGACTGAGAGCAGCCCTGAGGGGAAGGACCTAGGGGTGTTGTTGGATGAGAAGCTCAACATGCCCTAGCCATGTGCACCCAGAAACCAATGGTGTGCTGGGCTCAGCCCCACACTGTGGGCAGCAGGTGAGGGGAGGATTGTGCCCCTCTGCTCTTCTCAGGTGAGATCCACCTGTAGTGCTGCCTCCAGGTCTAGGGCACAAACATCAGAAGGACTCGCAGCTGCTGGAGAAAGTCCAGAGGAGACCACAGAGATGATCCTAGGGCTGGAGCACCTCTGCCCTGGAAGAAGGCTGAGAGAGTTGGGGGTGTTCAGCCTGGAGAAGAGAAGCTCCAGGGAGATCTTAGAGCCCCTTCCAGTGCCTAAAGGGGCTCCAAGAGAGCTGAGAGGGACCTGGGACAAGGAAC